TGTGAGTGCGAGTGTGCGTGTGCGTGTGTGTATATTTATATATATATGTATATACTCCTGTACGATCGTACGACCATATCGATTCCTAACCCCCGCAATACGCTCCTGGCACTGTAGAAGAGGTCGAAGGAACTTGCCCGTTATTCGGTGCAGCGATATTGACGAGAAGATGTTAGTGAAACTACACCGCACCATCATACGCACAGTACATCTCAAGGAACGCTGTCAGGTGGGTGGGTGGAGTACTCGGTGTGACTTACAACAGAGAATACGTATATCGATAGATATAAATACACACTTATATACATGGACCATTTTTTGTTTTTATTAATAATATATATATATATCGTGTGTTTGTGTGTGCATGTTTATGGATAGGCACCTCTTATTGTTTGCCTGTGTGTATTTTTTTACACATGTTTGCCTGTGTGTATTAATTTACACATATGTTTGCCTGTGTGTATTTATTTACACATGTTTGCCTGTGTGTATTAATTTACACATATGTTTGCCTGTGTATATTTATTTACACATGTTTGCCTGTGTGTATTTATTTACACATATGTTTGCCTGTGTGTATTTATTTGTATCCAATATTTGCGCGGATATCTTTTCTAGTTGCCTATGTTGCCGTTTCTGACCCGCCTATCGTTCCCATCACTTGTCACTCTAGAATTAGTCATGTCTATCCATATATGCGCATCTGTATACGTAGACATCCATACATCGATCACAGAATAGACCCATTGTCACTCTTAGTATTAGTCGTGTCTATCGTTATATACACATACATCCATCGATCACAGAATACAACCATACACCCCACACACATCCCTCCATCTGATATATTTTACAACTCCTGGAAGCCTGGCTGTGTACACTCGCTGTAAATTCTAAAACCCTAAAACCCTACTGCTCCAGGCCATCTACGACACCCTCATGGAGCGAGCCATGGTGCATGAGGATATCATGCACGGACGCTACCGAGTGCACTTCAACGAGAGCGATGGGTTTATGGATAAGGCGTACAAGCGCATGGTATATCTGTGGCAGACACAGGGGTATCGGGTCTTCGCTGCTTTGTAAGTGGCTGGTGTCAGATGTGTCATGTGTCGTACTGTTGGGATTTTAGGGTTCTTTGGAGTTGTATCACTCCGTGTCACTTAAGACCCCTGCGGCATGCTGCATGCAACCAATGAATACCATGCACTGTACTAGCCCGACCGACAGGAACTAATCACAGCTGTGCTATAAAACCCTAAACCCCTCTCTCTCCTTTATCATCTAGAATGTCTGAATCTACGGCTGTGCTATCATCCCTAAACCCTTCTCTCTCCTTTTCATCCAGAATGTCTGTATCTACGGCTGTGTTATATAACCCTAAACCCTTCTCTCTCCTTTATAAAGCCTAAACCTTTCTCTCTCATTCTTCATCCAGAATGTCTGTATCTACGGCTGTGTTATCGTTGATAGTAGTTGTGTCTCTCTCATGTTCCTTCTCTCTCCGGTTGCATCCAGAATGACTGTCACCACAGCTGTGTTATCGTTGATAGTAGTACTGAGTGAGGCTCTGGGCTTCATACGGTCACCCATTCTGTCGCCAAGGTAAGCCGCATATATATATATATATATATGATGTTATGTGTGTATATTGTATGTATGTGTGTATGTATATATGTTTGTATTATTTTAATATATGTGTGTATATATCATATTTGTTGTGTGTATGTCACCTATTCTACCACCAAGGTAATCCGCATATATGTAAATATATAGACATATATATATATATGTTTGTGTGATATATGTTTGTGTGATGCATGTATATTGTATGTATGTGTGTATGTGTATGTGTTTATATTATTTATATATATATATTTGTGCGTGTGTGTGTGCGTGTGCGCGCGTGTGTGTGTGTGTGTATGTGTTTATAATATTTATATATACTTTAAAACCCCGAAACCCCATGAGGTTTCTACTCCGCAAAGCGGCTGGACGTGAGGCTCCATATATCATCACAGCATCGCCCTTGTTATTATGTATTTCCAAGTATGACACTCTCCAACCGCATGAAGTACCGAACTTCTTCATCCGACATGTGTGTTGTCTATCCGTTTGTCAACTGTAGTCCACCTAAGTGTTGATATATTCACTGCACGCGTGCACCACACAATGCAAAGGTGTGACTTAGTGTTGTGGATGGACTCTGGTGAATACTCTACCCACTATAAATCTCATCCTCCCGTGGTGTGGTGTGGTGTGGTGGTGTGGTGTGTGTGTGTGGTGTGGTGTGGTGGTGTGGTGTGTGTGTGTGGTGTGGTGTGTGTGTGTGTGTGTGTGGTG